TTCTCGGAGGCCCCCCAGGGGAGAGCGGGCGGGCGAGCGGACCGCCGGGGGCTCACCGTGGCGCTGCGCTGGTCGTCGAAGCGCGTGCAGCGCTGCAGCTCGCTGTACAGCTCGCCCTTGGGCGCGTACTCCAGGATGAGGTAGACGCGCGACGAGTCGTGGAAGTACCCGTACAGGCGCAGGATGTTGGGGTGCCTGGTGGAGGCGGAGACAGGAGGTGAAAGTCAATCCACGTTTTTACACAGATGAGGAGAAGCGCAGGGTGAATAGCAACATCTTCATATCTACATGAAGAAACAGCACTGATTGCTCTGAACTGTCGCATCCACATTCATTCTTTCGAATTGTTTTTCAGTTTTTACTTTGCAGCACATCTCCCTGTAACTGCAACTAGCAGACCTCTGATGCAGATATGGCCTCTTCGCTAGATTCAAATGCACCAATACATCCATAGCCCTCTGGGTACAGGATGGTGATCTTGATTAATTATGAATGTACAGCATCGCCAAACTGATAAAATACCAGCAATTACTTTCAACCGGAAAATACGCAACTATACACGTCAGTTGGTCAGGTTGGGTTATTAACCCCAGAGGGTGTCAAATGTTGATAGTGCTTGAGACCATCGAGGAAAAGCAGAGGATCAAATCTTAAGAGAAAGGCAGCTTACCTCATTAGATTTCTAGTACATCTATGAAAATGATTCAGCTTAAGGGGCATCAAGCGACCAAAAACGACGACACTTCCCTGCACTCAACTGCCCTCCACTCTCCACATGGGAATGTTGAGAAGCTCGTGAACAGGGCGTCTCCCCACGGCGGGAGGGGAGGCCCAAGGAGCCTGCAGGAGGTGTACCTGAGGTGCGACTGGATCTCCACCTCCCTGCGCAGCTGGTGCTCCACGCCCGCCTTCTCCAGCTGCTTCTTGAAGAGCACCTTCAGGGCCAGGATGAACATGGACTGCCGCTCCCTCGCCAGGTACACGTTCCCGAACTTGCCCTTTCCCAGCGGCCGGCCGATGTCGAAGTTCTCCAGGCTCCAGCGCTTCCTGAGGAAGAACGAACGGGATTCAGGAAGTTTTCCTTTAGATAAACATGAGAAGCGGCTTAGAAAAAAAACAATTTCTCCTGATCTAGGTTTAGCGTCCCCCCCTTCACATGCAAGACGAGCAGTAGCACCAGGAGCAAAGTAAAGAAGTCGATTCTAACTGCTGGCTTGAGAAAAGGACAATGCATTTTTTTTTTTTAATACGGAAAATGTGACCCCCAAGAGTTCAATTCCTGGTTCTTACTTAGAGTTAGAGTTGACAGAGTTCATAGATCCAGTGGCCACAGCTTTATCTGCACAAGAAAAAGGACAATTACTACAGGGACATTCTTGAACATTAGTGTAAAAGAACATTTGACTTTGTCTGCAGATCCTTCATGTACCCAAGATATTTCCTTTATTAACATGTGCCTGTGCTGATCTAGAGCTCGTACTTCTGCCTCTCTATGCCCAACGGCCACCAGGTCTTGACTTGAGTCCCCGATGTCTCAGACCGGACACTCCTCGCTCCAGCACATCGAAATAAGTGAACTGCAAATACCAGGGAGCTCTGAAGACCGCTGCTTATTCCGAAAGTTACCAGTAATGCTCTATTTCAGCTATCCCAGAGCTCATGTTCCGTCAGCCCTCCCTCAGACAGGCCCAAGCCCAGCAGTGTCACACCGCAGACTGGGGAAAGCAGGGCTGCCCACCTGCAGTTTTCTCCTGCGCGGGCGGCTCCGCAGGGGCAGGAGCGGAGGAGGAGGAGGTGGTCCGGCCCCGAGCGGGCGGGGGGGTGTTCTCGCGGGAGGCCTGCGAGGCCTCGATGCGCAGGGCCGGAGGCTGGGGCAGCTTCTGCGGCCCGGCGGGGCGCTGGACGCGCTGCGGCCCGTTGGAGACGCCCAGGGCCCGCTGGGAGGACGTGGACACACCCGCCTGCTTGTTCTGGGACACGGGGACCCGTTTAGGGCCGTCGCTGTTGAGCTGCTAACACATGGGGAGAGGAGAGTCAGGGACCACACTTCACACTGCAGGTAGCCTTAATCTACAACACTCCAGAACTCCTGCCCAGTGCAGTTTCAAAACACCAAGCTTTCCTTGGAATGAAAGAAAACAGACATATTATAGAAAGCTTGGAAGAGCTAACTTTAGTGAAACATGGGAAATGAGCCACAGTTTCCTAAGCTTTGGTTCTGTGTCACAGCAGAAACAACTGTCACCTAAGGAGATCAGACTAGAGAGGTAAGGCGTTTGCACACCAGCCGGTTTTCATTCCATCCCACTGTAATTAGATAATCACAGCCCTACCTGATCTAATGCTAATGAGCTGCTTCCGGTGAATATTTGCATTGTGTTTTTAGTTAGGGATTTTCTCTCACCTACAAAGTACAACAGTTAAAGCTCCAGCATGTGTAAGACCCGGGAACAAACAGATCACATTAATCTTATTATTAAGCGAATGAAGGGTTTGATTGTGTGACTAAGGGCTCGGCTGGAACACAAACCTGCAGGTCACCAGGACCAGGAACCACCGGACCAATTGCAAGCACTGATCAGAACTTTTTCCCCCCCTGAGAATCGGTTTTTCATGGTTATACCCAAGACAAAAGATCCCCCGTGTGGGTGGAGGGGATAACTGTGTGCAAGCGGAAATTATCCCTGCATTTGCGCCCTCCCGAGGAGCACACGTGATCTTTGGCCCCTCTGCAGCACGGGCATTCAGAAACTAAACGATCAGGAATTCGGAAGTGGGTACGAGTCTCCCCCTAGCGGCGATCCCGGGAGGCGCACGGCGGCTCTCACACCGGCGACAGCTTACTTTCGCAGTCGCAGGACACTGCGACCTCCTCGCCGTCTT